CAGCAAACTGACAGAAGAGCAGAAAATCAAACACCGCATGTTCTCACTCATAGGCGGGTGTTGAACAATGAAAACACATGGACACAGGGAGGGGAGCACTACACACTGGGGTCAGTTGGGGGGAAATAGGGAGGGACAGTGGGGGGTGGGGAGTTGGGGAGAGATAGCATGGGGAGAAATGCAAGATATAGGTGATGTGGAGGAAGGCAGCAAATCACACTGCCACGTGTGTACCTATGCAACAATCTTGCATGTTCTTCACGTGTACCCCCAAACCTAAAATGCAATTAAAAAATAAAAAAGCAAACAACAACCAAAAAAATAAATAAAAAGTGAAAAAAAAAAACAAAACAGCTGGAGAATGACCCCACAGGAAGCTGCCCCTTCGGGACACCCCAGGCCACAGGCTGCTCTTGGTATGTGGCAGCAGGACCCCAGGGTTGCTGAGAGACCCCTGAGCAGGAATTAGTCACTCAGCCTCAGTTCCCTCCCACCAAAAATGGAAATCAAGGCCTTTCAGACTCTTCTTTTCCCCACCTGCAACTGTCTTCATTGAGTTATACCTTTCAGACTCTTTAGTCAATGTGGATTGCAGTCTGGGCCAGCACTGTGCTGGGAGGGGCAAGAGGATGGAAATGTCCAGCCGCAGGGGCAATAGGCAAGGGGGTGAATTATGAAGAAGTGAGGAGGGGTGGGTGCCACGGAGTGGGGGGCAGTGAGGCATCAGCCAGGGCCGGCCTGCCTGCCCTAGGAGGGATGAGGCAAGGGCACAGCCACACCCCAGCCCAACCCCCGAGGAGGGACAGTGCCCCAGTCAGAGGGCGGAGCCTCCAGTGGCCCCAGATTTTACTGACCACTGAGAGTGGAGCTTTGGTGGGTGCACAGGCAGCACAGGAGTGGAGGAGAGGTATGAGGCAGAGCTGGAGGGAGGTGCAGCTGCTGGTGAGGCGGGAAGACCCACAGGTAGCTCCATCCCCAGGGAGACAGGGCTGGATTAAAGCCCACAGGGGAGGGGCACCAGGATGGAGCCCAGAGCTGGGGGAGGAGAAGGAGGAAGAAGAGGGAGGGCCTGTGGACCCTGAGCAGGCACAGCACCAAGGGGATTTATGGAGCCCTGTGGGCCACAGGGGTACTGCTCCCCTGGGGTTTGGGTGGATGGAAGGGGGAGGTCTGGGAGGTGGATATCCCTGGGGCTGGTGTGAGGTGCCTGGAGACAAGGCAGGGTAGATGGAGGCTACAGCTGAGAGCCAGCCTTGAGCAGGACTGGTCTGGCCTGTGGCCATGTGGATGGGGTCCTGGGAGGGTGGGCTGGCCTTCACTCAGAGGAACAGGGAGCCCCACGGAGAGGGCTCTGAGCCCGAGGAAGAATGCCAGGGGTAGGCCAGGGAACAGAATCTTAGCAGGTTTGGGGAAGGTGGAAGCAGATGTCCACATCCCTTCCGCACAGTTGCTGGCCACAGAGATTCCAGGGCTGAACCTCTGGCTGGGCCATTTCCTGTCACTCTCAGAAACTTCCTCTTCCCTGGCAGGGTGTGCATAGCAGGCAAGTCCCACCCTGGTCCGGAGGGGGCCGTCCCACCCTTTCACACTGGGTCTGGCTGGAAAGCTCTGCTTCAGGCCACACAGATGCACTTGGAGCCCCAAGGACAATTCAGGGCATGGCTGTTCAGCCAAAGGAGGACAAGTATGATTCACTCATACATGGCTTTTCAGAATACTTTTCTTTCTTTTCTTTTTTTTTTTTGCATTAGGCTGCTGAAACCACCTTTGCAAAGATGATGACAGTGAGAGAAGTCTAGCATGGCTGACTCCATCTCGCTTCCAGCTTCACAGGCTGGCTGTCCCCACTCAGTCCTGGGTGTAGGCCAAACTAACCATGGGAGGAATTTAGTTTACAGTTTAATTTTAGATCAAGAATATAATCATCCCTCCCTAAAACGAATCCTCTCCTTGCTCAGGGAGCAAAACCACCTTTGTAAAGCTAACGAAAGGCCACAAGATTAGGATAATGGGAGGGGCCTGAACGCTGCTCTGAGGGGCATCAGCCCGCAGGCCTTGCTTCCCCAGCCTGCCTTGCTGTAATTCCTTTCTGCTCAGGAGTCATGCAGCCAGAGCTCATGAGATCTGTGACTTCCCCAATTGCTCCCCAGTAAGATAACATCATAATTGCAGAACCTAAGATTGGTCTTTTGAGATGGTTTTCAGACTTTAGAGTTCTGGCAACCTACAGACTCCACCTAGACCTGAGACTCATGACTCAGCTGATCCTGTGGCTCCACCCAGAGGTGGACTCAGCAGACAGAAAATTGTTTACACCCCTATGGTCGGTCCCCAACTCATCAGCAGCACTCATTCCCTAGCCCCCACCTGCAAATTACCCATGAAAACCCTAGCCTCTGAGTTCTCTAGGAGATTGATTTGAATAATAACTCCAATCTTTGTGCTTGGCTAGCTCTGTGTTAAACTCTTTCTCTACTGCAATACCACAGTCTCAGTGAATTGGTTTTGTCTGTTCAGTGGGCAGGCAGAACCTGTGGGGGGTTACACTCAGGAGAAATGGATGTGGAAGGTGGTAGTGGCTTCAACTGGCAGCTCCGAAAGAAGCTGACCCAGCAGGTCTAGGTTAGCTCAACACAGCCTGCTCTACTCCAGAGATAACAGCTAAGAAGGCTTCTCCGCGAGTGTCCGTGTTTTCACAGTGTGTCCTCTCCCTCCTCCAACCGTGGCAAGAGGCATGCAGTCCCTACCCAGCTAGGTGCTCCTCACCCTGCTCACAGGTTCTTCCCCCAGTACCCCTTATGGTGCCATGGACACACGTGGATGTGGGGTGGTGATCTTGACCCCTTTGCATGGCCCATGTTCCATAAACCAGGTTATGTGCTTTCAGTACCCCCACTTACTGTCAGGATGTCATTGTAATCTTCACTTTCTTTGCACTGCTGGAAGATATACTCCACTCCGAGGAAAATGTCTCCCAAATTGTAGTCATCTGGAAAATCAGGCTGGGGAAATTCACCTGCTTTCAGATTCTAAGAATAAGGAAATACAGACTTAGAGAACAGGAATCGTAACCCAGCCACAGGTTGACATTTAACCCTGGATAGTCCCAAAACAAATAAGCGCTTGCTCTCTGACGAGATCACTCTTAGGCTGCATGTCCAAGGCCAGCGTAGCAGCTGGGCCTGTGTCGGGGTGAGCTGCCCAGCCAACTGTGCACAAGTGCCCTAAATTGTTCCATTGTGAAAGTTGTCTGAATAAAAATGGAACCATTAGGGTTAAACAATTAAGCAAACCACTAAACCCTGACAAACAGAGCTGGGGAAAGCTATGAAGAGAGGATTCTCATACTTTTAAACCTGATAACAAAAACTGTCACTAAAGACTGCAAAAACTGCAGCCCTGCACAAAGGCTATTACAATCTTACACACACACACACAAAACTGCAAGGATATCTGCCCAGCAAGTGCCTGTTCCACCTCAGACTGGCATTAACCTTGGTATTGATCTTTGTAACCAAGGATAATTATCTCAAAACAATTACGTGATCTTCCTCATTCTTCCCTTAAAAACCTTTGCCAGGCTGGGCGCAGTGGCTCACGCCTATAATCCCAACACTTCGGGAGGCCAAGGCAAGTAGATCACCTGAGGTCAGGAGTTCTAGACCAACTTGGCCAACATGGTGAAACCACGTCTCTACTAAAATACAAAAAAATTAGTCAGGTGTGGTGGCTCATGCCTGTAATCCCAGCTACTCGGGAAGCTGAGGCAGGAAAATTGCTTGAACCTAAGAGGCAGAGGTTGTAGTGAGCTGAGACTGCATCATTGCACTCCAGCCTGGGTGACAGAGTGAGACTCTGCCTTTGCCTTCCTCTATCTCCCTGCATATGCACATAATATACTGTGGCATGTGGCTCTATTCTACAGAAACATCCTTCTCTCTTTTTTGAGACAGAGTCTTGTTCTGTCACAAGGCTGGAGGGCAGTGGTGCGATCTCGGCTCACTGCAACCTCCAACTTCTGAGTTCAAGCAATACTCCTGCCTCAGCCTCCCAAGTAGCTGGGATTATAGGCACGTGCCACCATGCCCAGCTAATTTTTGTATCTTTAGTGAAGACGGGTTTTCACCATGTTGGCCAGGATGGTCTCAATCTCTTGACCTCATGATCTGCCCACCTCGGCCTCCCGGAGTGCTGGGATTACAGGTGTGAGCCACCGCGCCCAGCCACATCCTTTTCTTTTAAAGCCTGTTTGTTGTTTAGGTTGATATCACCTCGTCAAACCGCATATTTTTCATTTCTTTCATCCTTCCCAATGAAGAATCACAGACCCACAACTTCTACAGAGTTAAATCATCACATGGTCACACTGTATATTCCTGTTCTTTCTGCTTGATATTTTGTCCTAAACAGTCTTTCACGTTTTTCACATAAAGACTATAACAAAGACCAGTCCACTAATTTAAGGACCATCCACACTAAGCCATTCACCTATGGCTCGATATTTAGGATGCTCCTTTTATTTTCCTATTACAGAAAACAGTAACTTTTCCTTTTTTGAGATAGGGTCTCACTCTGCAGCCCAGGCTAGAGGGCAGAGGCGTGATCTTGGCTCACTGCAGCTTCAATTTCCTGGGCTCAGACGATCGTCTCACCTCAGCCTCCTGAGTAGCTGGGACTACAGGCTTGCACACCACCATGCCCGGCTAATTGTGTTTTTATTTTTTGTAGAAACAAGGTTTCACTATGTTGTCCAGACTGGTCTTGAACTCCTGGGCTCAATCCATCCTACCACCTTAGCTTCCCAAAGTTCTGGGGTTATAGGCCCAGCAAATAAATTAACATTTTAATACATTTTTAAATGATTTAGCATTTGGTTTTATTCTGTCTTTTGGCTTACTGTCTTGGGTGTGTCACTACTGACACACCTAAGTCCCAACTTCTTTGCCTGCCACCACGCCCAGCTAATTTTTTGTATTTTTATTAGAGACACGGTTTCACCATGTTGGCCAGGCTGATCTTCAACTCCTGGACTAAGGATGCATATGTTTTAAATGCTCTTGGTGTAGATTTGCCAAATGGCTTTCCCAAAGGGTTGCTCCAATTTGTGCTGCTCCAATATGGGAAGCCTTGAATGAGTCATGCACAGAATGTAGAGAATAACCTGACGGCTATCACATTGAGTTTGTTGGAAATATTTACTCCAGTCTATTCTTTTATTTTCAGTGTTGTTTTAATTTTTCCAATTTGCACATATTCATTAACGAATCCCACTTAAAATTGCAAAAATACTACAGAAACACTTTGCTTCTTTCTTTTAATTAACTGAGAGCCTTAGGAGGGGAAGTGGGTGGACACTAGTCACCTTTCTTTTTCTTTTTTTTTTTTTTCTGAGACAGAGTTTCACTCTTGTTGCCCAGGCTGTAATGCAATGGTGTAATCTCGGATCACTGCAACCTCCGTCTCTGGGGTTTAATCGATTCTCTTGCCTCAGCCTCCCAAGTAGCTGGGATTACAGGTGCCTGCCACCACTAATTTTTTTGTATTTTTAGTAGAGACAGGGTTTCACCATGTTGGCCAGGCTGGTCTTAAACTGCTGCTCTCAGGTCATCCACCCACCTTGGCCTCCAAAAGTGCTGGGATTACAGTTGTGAGCCACCACGCCTGGCAGTCACTTTTTCCTGCGGGCTTACCAGGGTAATTGTGGCCTTTGGGTAACAGGCATCGATCAATAGAGGCTGAACATACTGTTCTACTTTCGTGTCTATTTGAAAATTTCCAAAATTAAAATGAAAAATCCTGTCTGTAATATATATACTTATATGTGCCACCGAGCCTAGCCTGTAATATAATTAATACACGAAATTTAGGCTGGGCGCTATGGCTCACACCTGTAATCCCAACACTTTGGGAAGGCCAGATCAGGAATTCAAGAGTAGCTTGGCCAACATGGTGAAACCCCTGCCTCTACTAAACATACAAAACAACAACAACAACAAATTAGCCGGATGTGGTGGCTCGAGCCTGTAGTCCCAGTTACTACAGAGGCTGAGGCACGAGAATTGCGTGAACCCAGGCAGGGGAGATTGCAGTGAGCCGAGATGGCACCACTGCACCCCAGCCTGGGTGACAGAACAAGACTCCCTCTCATTTAAAAAAAAAAAATATAGGAAATATACTCCGGATAGGTAGGCTAGACAAGAACACTTTTTCTTCTTTTACCTCATGAAATGGAAAAGAAAGCACGTCGGTTGGGACATTTCTATCTCTGTAGATTCTATTAATGTGCTGAATATTCTTGTTGTCAACACAGATGATCCCCAGGTCAAATTTCTGCACTCCTAAAATCCTCCGTACTATCTCGATCTTACTTCGAAGTGGCGCTCTCCTGATGGGGATGACTCGCTGCAGATTTCTAATCACCAAGCTCATTTCAGGAAGAATAACCGGCCCTTAAAACATGTTTCCAACGGAACCTGGGGTTAAAGTGTCAGAGAAGACCAATCAGTACAAGACAGTGACGGCACATTCTGTACAAAACTCATGCACACGCAATCAAGTCCCTTTATTTGGCGGAAGTGACTGAAAATCTTACGGGAATTTACACTGACCACAGGAGAATACAAAAATGAGGGGCCACGGGAGGAAGACGCGGAGTCAGGCCCGAAGGGCTCGCGGTGAGGGAGCCGTTCCCCGAGGCAGGGGGCAGGTGGGCGGGGCGCGCGAACGCGGCGAGGCGGGTAGGGGAGGGGAGCGGACGGAATGGGGAGGGACAGGGCGGCGTCCTCTGGGGTCTGGGGCGCCTGCGGACCCACGCGGATGAGTGCGACGCTCCCGTTTGGGAGACTAGGAACCCGCCCGCACGTACCGGGCTCAAGACCCGGCAAAGGGCGCGAGACGAGGCGCAATCCCCCACCGGAAGCGCCGCCGCCTAGCAGGGTGCCGAGAGCGGAACCCGATCGCGGCGGAACTCGGTGGTGCTGCGCGAGCCGGAAGTCGGTCCGCCGCGTTTTCGGTCCGCCGCGTTTTCGGTCCGCCGCGTTTTCCGCCCGCAGTGCGCAAGGGCGGTGTCGCGGCCGCAGGCTGGGTGTGCGCCTCTCGTCTTTTCCAGGGGTCCGGGAGCTGCGCGGGCCCCGGGGTCCAGCGGCGAGACGGTGAGCGTGGGGTTGGGCCGGCGCCTGAGACGCGGCTTCCTTCCCCGTCATCGCTCAGGGAGCGCGGCGGCGGCGGAACTGCGGCCTCCGCCTTTTCGGGCTGTGCTGGGCGGAAGATGAGGCTTCCCAGGCCCGCCGTCCCCGCCGAGAGGCCGCAGCTCCGCGGCAGCGCCCTCACCTTCCAGCCGGCTCGGCGGTCGCCAGGGCGCGGTAAAGGAATGCCTGAGGAAGGGCTCAGCGCCCCGGCCGCCCCGAGGGAAGCCAGGTGGGCGGAGATCCCGAAGCTAACGTTCTGACTGCGTTACATTCCAGTTCTCGGGCTGTAGACAGTGGAGGCGGTCGGGAGAAACTCATCTCTAAGTCGTAAGGAGGAACAGCATTCATTTTCTTATTGCCACTGGAGGTTTTTCATGAGTTTACCAACGCAGTGATTCGGCTTTTTTTTTTTTTTTTAAATCTTAAAGGATCACGATTTAAATCTCTGTAACAAAGTAATTATTTGGACCGCTCTCTACGCCATTCTCTAACAAAAGAACCCTGTGGCTCTCAGAAAATAATAGCCCTTTGTCTGCCTTTGAAATAGTTATCCTTATGTGACTGTTCAGAAATTCCTTTCTTAATTTTGTAGCAGAACGTAGCTGTGATGATCTGAATTTTTGTCTTTCAGCTTGTTATGAAGACGAAGGGGAGGCTGTTCAAGAAAGCCAATTAATTTTGTACACGTAATACTTATTATCTTCTAATAATTGGATCAGAAGATGAATCCAACTAATCCTTTCAGTGGGCAGCAGCCTAGCGCTTTTTCAGCATCTTCTAGTAGTTCCATAACAACATTCCCATCCAAGGCGCCGTTTCGATTTGGTCAACCTCTTTTTGGACAAAACAGTACCTTATGTGGGAAGAGCTCAGGATTTTCACAGGTATCCAGCTTTCCAGCGTCTCCCGGAGTAAGTCATTCCTCTTCAGTGCAAACATTAGGGTTCACCCAAACCTCAACTGTTGGACTCTTTTCTGGACTTGACCACACATCCACCTTTGTGGCTACCTCTGGGCCTTCAACTTCATCTGTGCTGGGAAACCCAGGATTTAGTTTTAAATCACCCACCAGTGTTGGGGCTTTCCCAAGCACTTCTACTTTTGGACAAGAAGCTGGAGAAATAGTGAGTTCTGGTTTTGGGAAAACAGAATTCGGCTTTAAACCTCTGGAAAACGCAATGTTTAAACCAATATTGGGGGCTGATGCTGAGCCAGAGAAAACCCAGAGCCAAATTGCTTCTGGGTTTTTCACATTTTCCCACCCAATTAGTAGTGCAGCTGGAGGCCTGACCCCTTTCTCTTTTCCTCAAGTAACAAGTAGTTCAGCTACCAATTCAGATTTTACTTTTTCAAAACCAGTTAGTAGTAATAATTCATTATCTGCTTTTACCCCTGCTTTGTCAAATCAAAATGTAGAAGAAGAGAAGAGAGGACCTAAGTCAGTATTTGGAAGTTCTAATAACAGCTTCAGTAGCTTCCCTGTGTCGTCATCTGCAGTTTTGGGTGAACCCTTCCAGGTCAGCAAAGCAGGTGTCAGGCAGGGGTGTGAAGAAGCTGTTTCCCAGGTGGAACCACCTCCCAGCCTAATGAAAGGCCTGAAAAGGAAGGAGGACCAAGATCGCTCCCCAAGGAGACATGGCCATGAGACAGAAGATTCTGATCCTCTGTCCAGGGGGGATCATCCTCCAGATAAACGACCTGTCCGCCTGAATAGACCCCGGGGAGGTACTTTGTTTGGTCGGACGATACAGGATGTTTTCAAAAGCAATAAAGAAGTAGGTCGCCTGGGCAACAAGGAGTCCAAAAAGGAAATTGGCTTTGTTGAGTCTGGAGAAAGTGACCACATGGCTACCCCAGGAGGGTGTCAGTCTCTCCTGGCACCTTCCCGGATTCCAGGTTTGAATAAAGAGGAAGAAACTGAAAGTAGAGAGAAAAAAGAAGGTGAGTTCTGAAAATGTGGAACATAGTGTAAATCCTGCTGGCAGCTTCCCAATAAGTTTCTTTGGGTGTTAGCTTGATTTTTCAGATAAATCTCCTATAAACATTAGGGATTCTAGGCTGGGCGCAGTGGCTCACGCTTATAATCTCATCACCTTGGGAGGTTGAGGTGGGTGGATCACAAGGTCAAGAGTTCGAGACCAGCCTGGCCAACATGGTGGAACCCCATCTCTACTAAAAATACCAAAATTAGCCAGGTGTGGTGGTGGGCACCTGTAATCCCAGCTACTCTGGAGGCTGAGCCAGGGAGAATCACTTGAACCCAGGAGGCAAAGGTTGCAGTGAGCCAAGATCGCACCACTGCACTCCAGCCTGGGCAACAGGGCGAGACTGTCCCAAAACAAAACAAAACAAAACACATTAGGGATTCTACATGTCATAGGGAGCAGGTCTTATACCTGTGAACATTTCCTTTACTTTTACACAGTTGGTGCCTCCTGTTGTTAGCGTTACATCTGATGGTTTAAGTGTCTGTTCTCTGAACCCCTAGATTCTTTAAGAGGAACTCCTGTACGTCAGAGTAAAAGAAGCGAGAGCACAGATAGTCTTGGGGGCTTGTCTCCCTCTGAAGTCACAGCAATCCAGTGCAAGAACATCCCTGACTACCTGAACAACAGAACCATCCTGGAGAACCATTTTGGCAAAATTGCTAAAGTGCAGCGCATCTTTACCAGGCGCAGCAAAAAGCTCGCAGTGGTACATTTCTTTGATCATGTGAGTATTTCCGTATTGCCGTTTGTTACCCTAGATTTGAACCACGTCACTGTAAAACTTGTTTTTTTGCGGGGGGGCCATCATGGTCTATCAGTTATTTGTTTAATATAGGGAAATTACTCAAATATCTTATTCTTTTTTTTTTTTTTTTTTTTTTTTGAGATGGAGTTTCGCTATGGTTGCCCAGGCTGGAGTGTAATGGCACAATCTTGGCTCACTGAAACCACTGCCTCCCAGGTTCGAGCAATTCTCCTGCCTCAGCCTCCCGAGTAGCTGTGATTACAGGCATGAACCGCCATGTCCTGCTAGTTTTGTATTTTTTTTTTTTTTTTTTTTTTTTAATAGAAATGGGGTTTCTCTGTGTTGGTCAGGCTAGTCTCAGACTCTGACCTTAGGTGATCTGCCCACCTTGGCCTCCCAAAGTGCTGGGATTACAGGTGTGAGCCACTGCACCCAGCCTCAAATACCTTATTCTTCGTTTTTTGACGCAGGGTCTCGCACTGTTGCCCAGGCTGGAGTGCAGTGGCAAGATCCTGGCTCACGGCAACCTCTACCTCCCAGGTTCAAGTGATTTTCCTGCCTCAGCCTCCTGAGTAGCTGGGATTACAGGCACCTGCCACCATGCCTGGCTAATTTATTTGTAGTAGAGACAGTGTTTCACTATATTGATTAGGCTAGTCTTGAACACCTGACCTTGAGATCCACCCACCTTGGCCTCCCGAAGTGCTGGGATTACAGGCGTGAACCACCATGCCCAGCCAAATACCTTATTCTTAAGATAGGCTGGGATAGCACTATTTATTTCATAACTTGGAGTATTCCAGGTCCCTACAGAATACAGTGCTCTGGAAATGCTGGGAGAGTTGTTCCCATGAAGTGAAATTTTTCTGAAAGGCTTTGGAGTAGCTCTAACTACATAGTAAAGTGAAATTCTTCTGAAAGGCTTTGGAATAGCTCTAACTACATAGTAAAGTGAAATTCTTCTGAAAGGCTTTGGAGTAGCTCTAACTACATAGTAAAGTGAAATTCTTTTGAAAGGCTTTGGAGTAGCTCTAACTACATAGTACTTTTTTGTTGTTGTTGCTTTTGTTTCTTTTTTTGAGACAGAGTCTTGCTCTGTTGCCCAGGCTGGAGTGCAGTGGCATGATCTTGGCTCACTGCAACCTCTGCCTCCTGGGATCAAGTGATTGTTCCTCCCTCAGCCTCCCAAGTAGCTGGGATTGTGTGTGCACCACCACACCTGGCTAATTTTTGTACTTTTAGTCGAGACGAGATTTCACCATGTTGGTCAGGCTAGTCTCGAACTCCTGGCCTCAGTGGTCCATGCATCTTGACCTCCCAAAGTGCTGGGATTACAGGCATGAGCCACCATGTCTAGCCCCCTCATTTGTTTTTAAAGTGATTTTTTGCTTATTGCAATGTGCTCATTTTCCCAGCTGAACATTAAATATTTTATCACCCAATATGTAAATACATTGCCTTTATAAACAATTCATTGGTACAGACAAAGCTGAACACCCTCATTTCTCCTGTTAACCAAGAGCAGTCCAGTTACCTAGTGTGGTGTGTGTTTTTCTAGACGTTTTATGAGTATCTACAAGGAGACTAAGATGTGGTTGGTTTTATGTGTTTTCTGTGATAAATGGCATCTCGTGTGTTATTCTGCAGCTCCCTTTTATGCTTCATTGTGACTTGGAAAACTTTGTTTCTGTATATGTAATTAGCTGGTGAGAATCATCTCACCAGATGCCAAAGAGGCCAAGTTTGTGAGTTCTATGAGGCAAAGTTGTTAATTTTAAAAGAGCAGAACAAATAGATGCTTGTGAGACAGGTAAGGGAGATGGACTGCTGCGCCCACAGCCAAAGGCTCTGCAGGCAGCAGATGGGGGATGGAGGTATCACTGATGTACAGAGGACAGGGGCTCCTGGTGCCTTTGGATGGATGTTCTGCTTACTGCGTTT